TTGTAAGATTTCTGGTGGAAGCATCTTATTTTTCATTTCACCTTTAAACAATGGTCAGAATGATTAGAAAGAGCCAGACTGAATGAATCAGTGATATAAGTACAGCTCACAGGTACTGCAGCGGTGCTGGAGGTGCTGAGTCCGTCCAGCAGGCCCAGGCAGCCCTCAGTGTCTGTGTAGGCCAACTGGCTGCCCGATGGATGCCAAGCCAAACTGCAGACGGTGAAGCCTTTTTCGTGCTTCTGCCTGCAGCGAACACAAGACACAATGATCCAACACACACACACCTTAACCCTGGAGCAGAACCCTGCTCTGGTCTCTAATCTATTCTGAGTCATTGAAATTTGTGTTCTTTATGTTTCAGGAGTGAAACAAATTATCTGTGGGCCTCTTGGCAAACAAACTTACCTTTCCACACACAGCTTGCTGTTTACGTCCCACACCGCCAGTAAACCACCAACACTGCCAGCTGCCAGAAACTGACCACACGGGGACCAGGCCACCACATTGATCGGCTGCAGACAAAACATACAGATATCAGGGATGTTGTAGTTCAGCTGATAAAGCAGCTACACAAAAGGCTTTGTGATCCCACGCTCTACAGTTCATCACTGACTGCAACAAAATACCAACATAAAATGAGATCATAGGATATGAAGTTACWGAGGGAGCTCCCTGTGAGAACAGGTTCAAGATCTGCTTTTTAAAACTCATCACTGTCCATTTCAAAATATCTCAGGAACTACTGGRAAGATTTTAACTTTCAGGAAATAATCATCAGATTTACATGCATAACTTATTAACTTTTCGAAGCCAACCCAATTCAAATCGGCCAGATCTTATTAAAACACAGGCTAAAATTCAGCTGATATTACAGATATCAATTCAAGTTTGATATGGTAGAAGCAGACAGTCATCCTCAAAACRTACTCTGAGTGCTAAAGACWGCTACATACTTCATGAACCGTAAGACATCTGATCCCACTGACGAATATTTTACACTCAAAACGAAACGGAGGGGTTGAGCTCCTGATAAGCCCCTCCCACTGCGGCATGTCACATACAAACAGAAACAACACAGCGAGAGCACAGTTGGCGAAGCAGATCCTTATTTTTGTGTCTCTTCCGTGCACTACAACTGTACCATCTCCTTCCACGAGTCCTTTGACTGATTTATTTAAGATTCGTTTAACTCTTTTCTTGTTTTGTTGGAACAGTTGTCAGGACGGCTGTATTCCTAACAGCCTCAGCCAGCTGGTTTAATCTGCCTCCCGTCCCTCCAGGAGAAAGTCTTAGTTTTAATCTTCAGCATGAAAAGAAGCAGGTACGACGAATACCGTTAAAAATATGTTGAACTTTTGATTTTGAAATGTTTTGCTTCCTAAAATAACTCCTTTGAACTTTTTACTCGAGCAGTTTTATTATGAAGTTTAGTTTATTATTGTTTAAATTCCTTTGATCCTTAATGCAGAAATCAGTAAAAACATATAATACTTGTTTTTTGCATCTTTTACCTAACAAAGTAAAAAAATACAATAATAACAAAACATTGCATGGTTTTTTAGGCAGTATTGGTATTCTGGTTTCACCTGGTGCTGATGAACACTCTTTGTTCTCACCTGTGTGAACAGATCATCAGACAGAGAGCTGACAAGAGTCCAGGACCCCCGCTCGTACAGGTGCACTTTGGTTTCTACAGGAACTGCTAAAAGCTGACACACACACAAACACACACGCACACACACAGTTTATTACTGTTGTGAACACATGTTTCTGTATTGCCTCTTGCACCGACTGGTAATAAAAGCTAACCCACGATGGTGATCACACAACCAGCGTTTGAGTCACTGACCTTCCCCGCTGCCGGCTGAAACGCTAACCGACACAGAGACTTGGCGTTGCTGACGTCGTTGGTCTTCTGCAGCAGAGGCCAGCTGACCACCTGAGTCTGAGAGGAAACACAAACATCATGAAGCACGGGTTGACAATCTAGCGGACAACCTGYTGACAAAATCWGGTTGTCCAAAAAAATCTCAATAAAAATGTAATTTAATAACTAGGCTAAATTGTTCTGTACAGAAAGTTTACTSTATACAAATGTTCTCAGTCAGCAGGTTTCAGGAGCTGCTTGAGTAAAACTTCCTCCTCATCCTCTTCTTTAAAGAGACCAAAAATCAACTTCCATAGGAGTAAACTGTGTACATGAMCTTATMAAAAGTTAGTTTAGTGTGAAAGTCAAAAATAGACACGTCTTTGTTAAAAGACGAGTCCACTCCTTGTCCCCCACCCCGAGGCAGCGGTCCGCCTGCACCCCCACTACACTCCTGTGTGATTAATACAGGAAAAAGGCAGTGCTGTCAGTCAGATGGCACGACCCGCCCTGCTCTGTTCTRACTTGGTAAAACTTTGACTGTGGTTCTCTCTAYTGGGTGAAAGAACCGTCAGTTTAYTCCCTAGACGGCTTTAACAAGTTTTTTTTTCTCCCGTTCATTCTTACAACRACAAACAGAAAAATTTAATCCAGGTCTTTTTTTCTTGGTTGTCCACTGGACAACCAAGTCCATTTTCATTTCCGACAACCAGATCCCGCCTCCCAACCCTGGTTGTCGGAAATGAAAATAGGTTGTCTCGGACAACCTTAACAAYGGTTGTGTCAACCCCTGTCAAACCCACAGAGTGTGAAGCCTAGGTTATAGTTGACACGACRCATAGGRCGTGAGGGGGCTTGMGTCAAAAGTTAYGCAATCGCGGTGGCCCCGCATGTTGGCCCTGCGTTGTGTCCTGGCATGTGGTTGTGCACCAACAGGTCCAAATATACCGGCATCTGTATGATCCCTCTATGAGATCATAAAGACAACCAGATGGCACAAAACTCATGGAAGGAAATAGCAACGGCTGTAAAGAAAGATGAGTTTTATGCTGGAAGACATGGAAAAATATTTGCRACCGGTTTGTGAAAGCCATGATTCTGGAGGAAACAAACCAGTGTGGCTCTCTCAGTTCGTGACGCACAGAGAAACAGATATTATATTAGCTATTATTAGTTCTGCTATATTATATTAGATTATATGGCAAAAGAGTTAAATGTGGTTACTTTGTTATGTGTGACGTCAAGCGTTTCTTGTTCTACACTCTGGTTTGGCACCGTACTGCCATCTGTCGGTGAAGAATGAACAGCGAGCAACTGTAAACGCACACAGTGCGCAGCTTCAGAGCGCGGGCACTCCGCCAATACCCAGAGCGCGCGCACACACACACACACGCACACGCACACACACACACACACACACACACACACACACACACACA